AGCTATGCAGCGATAAGCAGACCTGTAAGCACCAGAGAAAGCAAACAGGGCACTGTAGAAGTTCAGCACTAATAGTGGAACAGAAGCTGAAAACAGACCTCCAAGTTCTTACTTTGCAGAGGTTTATAAGAACTGAGTAAAGGCAAAGGACAAGAACAACAAACAGACCAATATCACGATTACGCAAGTCTTACGTCATTAGAAAAGCCTTCTCAAAAATGATTTACCTCCATCTGCTTTCTCTACATTGGTCTGAAACCACATCGCAGTTGTCACCTGTGACTGACTTGGCAACAATATCTTGAAAGGAAACCAAGAGAAGGAGATCTCCACTGTGTTCTTCAGCAAGGGATAGCTTGAATATATTAGTTTATCCCCTTTTAAGTGGATAGGCTTATACTTCATTTTTTTAAAGTTATGTACACTTCTGAGAGTTTATGTTCTGAAGTCAGAGTATAACAGAGAGATGTAGGCAATGCAGAGATATGAAAGACAACTAATAGTTCAAGCCTGGTATATTGCAATAAAATAAAATAAAATAAAATAAAATAAAAACATTAGCTTTTCTTTATTATTTTCATCAGAAGCCAGATACTGACAGAGTTAATGAGTTTCACTCTAACATGCTAAACTAGGTTTTCTTAGTCAATACACTGTCCTTAGAGCAATAATAGGAAGATGTGCAGGGAGGCCTTAACTATTCCAAAATTACGTGATGTTGCCTCTCCCCACCTTCACTGGCAGTGCTTAGACTTCTCAAATGACTCTAGTCTCTGAGACTTATGTAGAAGAATCAAACATTTATACTGCATGTACGTAATATTTAAACAGGATCTCTTAAGTACTGAAGATCCTCCAACAGAAATCAAACATGAAACGGGATTTAAGACTAATCTAATTCTAACCTAAGACTTATGTTCAGTTTCTAGCTAACTTCACTGATGAGTGAAAGCAGTGCAGAATTCACTTACACCAAAGAGTGAGAGCTGGCATGAAATAACTGTTCCACAAGGCAACCACTTCTCACAGACTACAGATGCAGCATGCATCCCAAATTGCCAACATTTTTTTCACTTTACACTACAGATAATTGAAGAAATACAATTTTTTGAAGTTGAACTCTCCTTTTCCCCTCATACCTTTATGCTGACTTAATAGAGCCAGCAGCCTAAAGAACAAGATTTTTAACTATCTTCCTCACCACTGACTTCCAGATCTCAGGACCAGAGAAGTCTGTGCTTAGACTTATGACCTAGCAGACCCAAACCTGGATCTCTCCACCCTCACTAGGGATGGCCCACAAAGAACTGACTTTGGTATGAGAATACCAGCACGACTGAGGTGTGCTTTTAGGTGGAGTTGATCTCCTTTTGGTCAAGTAAACTGACAGAAGTACAAGTACAGGTAACAGGATGACAAAAGCAATTGCTAAAAGGAAACAAGGAACATTTTTCAGTCTGCTACCTTCCTATCTGCATCACAATGGCATACAGCTTGGCTGATGTAAAAGATTGCTATCAAGTGTCACAGTTGCTGAAGTACCCCATTCATCTCAGAAGGTTAATGCCACAACACTTCATACAGGAAACAAACTCAGGTTACACAAGATCTGTCCATCCTGCACACACCACAGATTACTTTTGCGCTCACTCAGTGCATGACAACAGCTTCACATTTGAAAAGTTGCAACAAAGCACACTTCAGATATACAAAACACACACATAAAAGCTGGACTTTCATTCTAACCAGTAAGTTAGGCTACCATTAGATAGGTGTGGCAATGCACAGTGTTTCTTAACCAGGGAGTTACGATCTCTACATGTTTTATTGCAGTCAGGCAAAAAGGAACCCTTCTGCTCAACAGTTCAAGCTGAGATGTTCTCACTCAACTTTCCAGAATCACATTATGATCAATGGCCTTCAGAATAGGAGAAGGTGTTCCCAAAGGACCAAACTTGAATGTAAGAGTAAACACGACCGAGATGAAGAACGCTAGCAGAGGATACAAGTTACAAAGTGACTGCAAGTGAGCGGTCCTTAAAGCTGGAGACAAGCAGAATACGTCTTCAGAAGCCTAAGAGTTCTAACTCAGTGAATTACGGAACTATTAGAAACATTAATGTTGTCAGATGTTATGCCTACATACATGCTGTACAATCATTTTCATAATAACTCCTTGCGTGTACACACAGCTAGACACGTTTCTACTGCCATTCTGATATTCACGGGGAGCGTTCAGTTTTATGTTACTTAATGGAATTACAGAATGGCTTGGGCTGGAAGGGATGCCAAGGATCGTTGAGTTCCAATCCTCCACCACAGGCAGGGCCACCAACTTCCACATTTAATACTAGACCAGGCTGCCCAGGGCTCCATCCAACTTGGCCATGATCACCTCCAGGGACGGGGCATCCACAACCTCTCTGGGCAGCCCAGAGAACAATCTCAGCTGAAAGGCTGTGATGCAATACTTACTATCCTTCAAACTGGTGCAGTGGGTATATTTACAAGTTAACTATTAAATGCATTTCCAATTTAAGATGCAAACAGTCTTATTAAAATAAATATCTTCTTAATTGAGGATCCTTCATGCCAAATGCAACTTCTAACTCCCCACAGGCACATGTCATTTACGGTTATTTTTAAGTGCACCTCGGATCTAAACAGTTATTATAAAGACATGAACGCTTGTGGACTGGTTGTTGTTAAACCCAGCATGTCCTTCTCTCACCCTCCATATGTGTTCGTTTATTACTCCTACCCAGTTTAGTACCCAACTTCAATCCACACGTTAATTAATTTACCTAAAAACTGGCTGTGCCTGGTTACAGTGCCACATACCTCACACCAACCTGCTTTGCAAAGCAAAAGTGCATTTGAACAGAGCTCTATTCCAAATCATTCTGTGGATTAATTTGTTCTATACCTGGAAGCCTGAGGTGTTGTTATGATTTCAGCACACTGTAAAAAAAAAAACAACTAACAAACATGCAACACATAACAGGAGCTCTAATTCCTCTCTCTAAAGAAGTCAGAAGCCCCTCTACATTCACCCAAGAGGCAAAATCAGAACACTGGAGCAAGTTGGCCAGTAGTGTCAGCAGAACACCAACACTGAATTTTTGACACCTTGTTCACATTGTCTTTTGAATTTCAAACTAAAGCTAACATTCAGCTAGTGTCTCCACAATGCACACAGCAGGGACATGCCAGCAACATATCACAATGTCATGCAGGTGACAGTCAGTTCAGTCCATCCCTGCTCAGCTCCTACATGTACAGACTGCTTGGAAAAACAGGGATTGAAGCAGCAAAGCCATCACCTGGCACCCACAGCCTAATCCCCCCCTCACGGCTATCAGACTCTTCCAGTCTTCACCACTTTTTCTCCTTCCACTCTGTTAAATCTTCTCTAAGGGACTCATATCCAAACAGTTCATCATTTATATCTATTCTCAAGCCACTTCATGCGGCTGATGTTATTTTAGACACATCTTAAAACCATACTTGGAACAAAATCATTTTCTAAGTTTAGCTCCCACAAACTGATGAGCACTTCATCCCAAAATATACTTTTGGGTCATTATTACAGCATTAATTGAAAGTCAGAATTAAGCCTCTAACACCTCATAATAACAACAACCATTCACCCATAATTTATTCCTTCCTGTTTGTCTGACTACCGCACGTAATTTATGTGTGATAAATAGCACTGTGCAGTTTGTTAGTGCCATATAATACAATCAATGTAACTAAGACTGCCCTAGTGAGCTGTACAGGGAGGGAAAAAAAGCTGAAGTCATGCTTCCAAAGCAAGCCTTTACATTACCTGACTTCAGAATGCTTAATGTACAACATCAAGTTATCTTTGCTCAATATTTTTAATAAACGTGTGTCTGGCTGCATTTAACAGAAAGCCAAGATGTTATGTGAAAAATAAAGCAAAAGCAAAGATGCGATTCCCTGCGTGGTTATGGTCAGTGATCCAACATGTTCCCACATCTCTATTTGCCTTCTCACTTTCTCCTCTTCCTTACCAACAGTCCTACACCAATGGCACTGTGTGGCTGCACCCAGCTGTGCGTGTGCAGGTGCGTGCTGTCCCTTCTGCTGTCACAGGGAACTGCCTTCTACATGCCCTACCCTCATTGCAACCCCAAGTCCTGAGCTTCTGTACTTGCGAGGTGCTGGCTTCCATGGAATAAGGGCTTCAATCTCCTTTACTAGCAAACTTAATAGAAATTGGACAATAAGCCAACATTGCAGGGTGGAGAAGGAATAGATGAAGCATGTCCACGAGATTTCTTTCCTTAGGAAATCAAACTGGAAACACACCCAACAGGAAAATGTTAGTTAGCAAGGCAGAAGAAAAGCTGTGAAGAAGGACTTTTGCATCGCACTCATAAGCCACACTTCTAGCCCGAGCTCTCGCACAACAAAAGCACCGACAAGATGCACGACGCGTCCTCTGCACTACACCTCAGAACCGTTACAGGTGAGAGCTATCACAAGGGACAGAAAGCACCTGCTTTTCGCTGTCCGAAGTTAAAACTTCCTGAGCACCGGGTGACGGCTCCCGCCTCGGACCTCCAGGATTTTCCTGCAATAACCTCTATTTCCTCAATGCCGTTACCTGCACGTTTCCCCCGCTCCGGGCGCTGCCGTCTCACCCCCTCCCCATCTCGCAGCGATGCCGCCCCATCAGACAAAGGGGATGCGGTCGCCCTTTACGCCCCGGGGCGCCCCGGAGGCGGAGGAACGCGGGAGGCCGACCGGACGCCTCCAGCCCGGCCGGACACGGATCCGGAGTGGGCTCGCAGTCCCGCTGTCGCCATGGCGACGGGCCCAAGCGCGGCGCTCGCCCTCGGCCAACCGCCGCCTCCCTCACAGGCAACGGTCGGCGAAGGGGGAGGGGCGGCCACCGGCAGCACCCTCAGCCTCAACCCGCTCCCCTCCGCCCTTCCCCGAGCGCCGGCCCTCCCTCCGCGGCCCGCACTCACGGGGGGACTGGGCGGGCTGGGCGGCGGCGCCCCCACGGCGGGGACCATCCTCCGGGCGGGCGCCCAGTGCCAGCGCGCCGCCGCTGCCTCCGCTCTCCTGTCCTCCCGCGCAGCCTACCCTGCTGTTAGCACGCGCGGCTGGCAACAGCCAATCGGACGGCGAGGGTTCAGCCCTGCGGGCCAATCGACGAGCGTGGGTGCAGGAAGGCGTCCCTCGACACGAGAGGGCGGGGAGAAGAACACGCAACGCCAATCGCCGCCCCAAACACCTTGAGCCAAGCCCAATCAGCGGCCAAAGAGATTGAGAGTGGCGTGCGGACCGTCAACAAGTTAAGGTGGCCGAAACAGGAACTGTCGTAGAGGGGCATTGCGACCGTCCAATAGGAGAGAGAGACGGGAGATTGGGGGCGGGCGAAAAGTCTTAAAGAGCAAGGAGCCTGCGGGAGACCCCGCCCCTGGCGGCGGCACACTGGAACGGGTTGCCCAAAGAGGCTGTGGATGCCCCATCCCCGGAGGCATTCAAGGCCAGGCTGGATGTGGCTCTGGGCAGCCTGGTCTGGTGGTTGGCGACCCTGCACATAGGAGGAGGATTGAAATTAGAGGATCATTGTGGTCCTTTTACCTAGGCCAGTATATGATTCTAAGAGCTCAGCATCAGCAGCAGGCTCTGGCCACCCCCTAAAACTGCATTTATAGGACACCTCAGCTCCCAGGTAATGAAATAACCTTTGCTGCTTCCTTTTTTTTCTTCCCCCTCACCCTTTAAGACACTCCATCCTTTAATAGCAAATCTGAAGAATAAATAACTAATTCCAGCTGCTGTAGGCACAGAGAATAATACCCTTGCAGGCACAAAGATGTGATGAAAAGACAGAAGCACAGGGCAGGTATGACAGAAGATAGGGTCTTACAGCTGCAGGTGGCCAATGGTAGAGGCCAGTGCTAGGGCAGAATAGCCTCCTCAGCAGTGCCCCCATAAAGAGGGCACAGGAGGCAAAAGGTTTCTGTAGGCCAGTGGAGGTCATAGGAATGAGGAAGGACAGATGGACCTTCCAGTACTGAGCAATGTGAAGCGTTCTACCACTCAATTAGAGAACCCTGGCATTACAATTGTTGTTGTTGTTTTTTAAATATGAAAAGAAAAAAAAAAAAACTTTGTGAAGGGCAGCAAAAATTACCAAGACTGTGCAGGTGCTGCTGAGACCAGCACAGAGGGCAGCTCCAGCTGTGCCTCTCAAGCTCTCCAGCAGAGGTCAGGCTCTCCAGCAGCAGCTCAACACAGCCAAGTCCACTGAGCTGCTTTTTTGCATGGTGTTCTAAAGAGTGCACAGACTGCAACTACTGATAGAGCATTCTCAATAAGCAAACATGCTGCAGCGTATCTGGGGTTACATTTCTTTACCCTTCATAGAAACCACATAATCTCAACTTCATTACTTCATGAACAGTACTTTCAAAGTCAGAGAGGAGCAGAAAGAAATCAGTTAAAAGTAGGGAAAAAAAATCAGAGCAGTAACTCATCTTTCTTAAGAAATGTTATTATTAACATTTGCCACACACTGTACACAAGCAGGTACAAACCCTAGCTTTCCTAAGATTGTTGTCAACACTGGAGATAGCTAGCCACTCATTTCAACACTAGATATTCAACCTATACAATCTGATTATTTAAATCAGATTTAAAATATAAATTATCTTATAAGTAAATCAATCTTTAACTATAATTATACCCAGGCTGGATGTGCCTCTGGGCAGCCTGGTCTAGTGGTTGGCAACCCTGCACATAGCAGGTGGGTAGAAACTAGATGACCATTGGGGTCCTTTTCAACCCAGGCCATTCTGTGATTCTATAAAGCACCGAATTCCTCATGCCTGGTCTTCTTCAAGACTGTGCCAAAACAGTTCAGGACAGTTGCTCTCTCTGCTTTCCCTCATCCCCCAAGGCACAGGATTTCTGAGAAAGACTCATGACTTCAGGGAAAACAGCCAACCCACCCCCACTTTCCTCAGCCATCAGACATGTGGCATCCATCAAACAGCAGCCCCACTCTCAGCTCTTGTTTGGAATGCTCACTGTTTGTGAAGTCTTCATGGAGTAATTCTATATCTGATTTCAGAAGGAAACAGCTGGACTGCAAGAAATGCACATGACAAGTCATAATTGACATAACTCAAATAGTGCACGTTTATTCTGAACAGTATTTCTAAAGAGTCTGAGAAAAACAAAAACATGCTTCTGATGTACAAGGGCAATGATATAGATAATAACGGACCAACTCGTTGGTAAAGAATTTGCTTCCCCTGCAACTTAATTTGTAACGTTGAGAATGCAATTGCAAACTGCAAACAGCATACCTTTAACTAAATTTAAACTCAAGAGACCAGGGGTGGCCTTAGCCAGATTAATCAGAAAGCAGTTGCAGATTCAAAAGAAACATCCAAGTCAGCAAACACTTTACAGAAACACAGACTTTATGCATAGCAGCTGACCCTGGATTACAACATGGGGGAGAATGTAACAATGGATGTTTAGGAGATCAAATTTTTACTAGACATCACAGGGCACCATCAAGAATTAACAAAATATCACAGAAGTTTGTTTCAATTGTAACAGTATGTCATATTTAGTTGGCAACTTCAACCATTAGCTGCATCATGTAAACTCAGCCAGTTTCTGTATACACAAAATAAATTCTCTCCCCTCCCCCTCCCAAAAAAGAGGGATATCTCTCCTGGATGAATCTTTTTCGCCTGTACCATGGTGTCCTCCAGCAGGAGTCTCTCTGTAGATATCATGCTTCAGTCCACGTACAACAAAACCAATTGCAGAGATTCAGGAATAATATGTAAATACACAGTTAACTCTCTAAAGCTGCTAGTTGCATATACCTTTTTCTCACTAGATCCTCATCCAGAACAGAAGTGCTGGCGTGTTTTTTTTCTTTTCTCCATTGAAACTCCCACCCAACTTCAAAAAAAGTTTACTTGTTCATAAACAGTTATTTTCAAGCTAGAAAGAGGTCCTGCTGCAGCAAAATATGAAGTAACTGAAGTTCTCTGCAGTAAGCTCATACTTCAGAGTTTCAGTGACTCCGGATAACAGTACTAAGATGCAGCATTCTCTTGGCCAACTCGGCCAATATACTAATACAACTGTTTGTTGTTCACAGCTACTGACCTGCACTCTCCTTCATCCATGTACAGGGAACACAGCTTTCTAAGAGACTGAGATTAAACCTTGTATTCAACAACCGTTTTCCAGGATTGGAAAAGGAGTCTTACGTGTGTGGTCACTCTCACTTCCACTTCTTACAACACATTTAATCAGAAGTTACAATGAGGCAGGTTTGCTGTGAAACAGGAGCTCTAAGAATTGTTTTCAGGGATACATTCATAGAATGATGGCAGCCCAAAGCAAAGAGAGACAGAAACAAAGGTTACTCCAAGTAAGTTCAGACATCAGACTTGTACTTTTAAACCTGAAGGAAAACTGTCTGCAAAACACACTGATTTGTGGAAGCCTACGACAACAGCAAATCCTAAGAATTCATATCCCCACACCCATCTACCCAACCCAAACACTTACCATTTAGTTCTAGAAGAATGAAGAGCACTTTGCTTGGCACCAGAGGCAGCTATGGTCTAAGTTACAGCTGTGCTGCATGAACATCCTCAAGTACAATACTATCTCTCTCCCACCACATACTTCTCTTGGTTTGGTCTACAGATGGCCAGGGAAACTATGTTGGCATATGACAAGCTAATTGTGCTTCAATACATTCCCTCCTCAAGACAGATATAGAACTGCCAACATAACCAGTGCAAGCAGGTCCTGGCAGTACTAAAAATAAGCTTTTGTCAAAACTAGGTTGCTTCTGGACAAAGAAACTGTTGCTTCCTAGCCAGAGTCCGCTACCAAGTGTTGCAAACACAGGTGCTCAGGCCATGCAGAGGGGCTTTTGTTGTTAGAGACCTGCCCACCACCAAGACTCAATTAGTGCAAACCTAGCAAACAGAATAGCTATTTTCCAGCATAGGTCTGTCAAGAAGCATTCCAATAACACTACACACCTCTGGGAAAGTAGTAGCAATTCTGGAGCAGCTTGTATAGTCACCCCTCCAGGTAACAAAGGACCATATAGTGTGCAATGAGGGGTACCATCCCTTGCCTCTTCACAACTCCCATCTTGAAATCCTTGGTTCCCAACTCACCTTCAAATGAATGGACAGCACCTGCTAACAAGATGTACGCTGCAATGCGCACTAGAGGTTGGCAGGCTTTCAAAGCAGATGAATTCAAGATGCAGGTTCAAACTTCAAAAGAAAACAAACAGGAAAAGAATGCAGTTCAATATCTACTTGGGAAACAGGGCAGGGTGGTGTTGTCTCAGCTCAGTGCACTTCCCCAGATGCTTGGAGAAAAGTCCAAGCTTAAGCTGGTATCTGTATTGGCATACACAGAATTGCTGGCAACAGTGCATTGAAAGGAGCACTGATTCATGCAAAGAAAGCATTATAGGATGCAAAGCAGAGCTTAGAGTTTGCTGTAGCTTTTCTGAGGTTACAGCACCAGGAAGAAGCCATTCAGCCTATTTTCCAAACCCACAAATTGGTCTAGTACACACTGCTCTCTCCAGCGCTCCACAAACATCACTTGAAGAGAGGAGAACTGCATTATTATGGCTGAAGGGTAGAAGGAAAAGAATCTTCAAAAGAGCAAACCATACTGTTTTTAAACCACCTCCTTCTGAAGAAGCACATAAACACAGCAAGCCAAGCCAATCCCAAAAAAATCCAGGAGACTCCTGCAAAGCAGTGTGATTGGGGTCAGATTCTTGTTTGCCTTCTCAGCCTTGCTGCCTGGTTTCTTCAACCCTTGACTCATTTCAGATTTGTCACCACAGGTTTAGCATCTGTAGCAAGTTTATCTGGAGACAGGTGTTTGCCTTACATGATCAACATGGGTAAAGTGGTCACAGTCACTCTTCCCATTCCAACAGTACAGATAAAACTCTCAATGAGCCCTACAGCACTTCACCCATTTTTAAAG